AACTGTCATATTTGTGGAATGGGAAAAATTAAAATACTGATGTGTGGAATGAGGTGATGTTTATGAAAGTGCTATAAACATGTTACTGATTTTTAAATATATTTTATTAGTGGTAGTAAACGAAAGACATTGTGATTACCTTCTATAGAGTGATTCTAGAAACACTGGTCATAATGTAAACAAGAGGTCAGCAAACTACAGTCCATTGGCTAGTTTGGGTGGCTGCCTGTTTTTTGTATGTAAAGTATTACTGGAACTCAGCCATGTTCTTTGCTGCTTTTCTACAGCCATAGTGGAGCAGGTTAGTTGTGACAGAGACGGTACGGCCTACAAAACATCAATATTTACAGGAAGTTTGCCGGCCTCTGGTCTAAATGATCAGTGTGTTCTAGTAGTGCCCACTATTCCACTGACTGAAAACTACGTTGAAATCTTGACCTGTAGTCTGGTTTTTTCTTTTGACCTCCAGCGTCTCGTATCTAACAGCCTGCTGGCATCTCTCCTTGGATGTCTCATAGCCACCTCAAATTCATCTGGTCTCAAAGTAAACTTGCCTTCTTTCCTCTCAAGCATGTTGCTCTGTTGCTTAGGGTGACTGGTACCACCTAGACCCCTAAACTAGGAACCAGGGGTCATCCTAGATTATTCCTCTGTCCTCACCTCCCATTTCCCTTCAGTATTAACTTCCTCCTGATTTTACCTTTAAATATCTCTCGGCCCAAAGCCCACCTCTCATCTAGCCGACACTGCCATCAGCCAGGCCCTTCACATCTGCCTGAACCATTCTAATGCCTTGGGTTGAACTTCCCACTCAGTGCTATGTCCATGAAATGGGCAGATTATTTTCTGTTTTTGTGGTTCTTTGTTTTAAGACTGTTGTTTGGTTCTATTTAAAAACAGAATAGTGACGAAAAGCCCAAGTACATATATTTGACTATCGAAGCTTACAAAGCACTTTCATATTCATGGCATTTTCTAATTCTGGGACAGTCAGTCTTGTGAGGGAGTTATTCTAATTATCCATGTGTATACATATGAGGAGAACAGGGTGTAGAGGGGTTACATGTATGCCTAAGGTCATCTGCTTTGGAACCACAATTCAGACTCAAGTCCCCTGAACTCTGTGTGCCTTTCTTCCTCAACTCTTCTTTTTTTAAAAAAGATTCTTCCTCTTAGAGAATCTGAAGTTCGGCTTTCCTTTCCCTTGAATGCTAGAAATCCACCAGTAATATTTTGTCTTCAGTTCCCACTATGGAGATCTGTATTAAAAAAATGACAGCAACTTATTATTTATGGCAATACCTATTGTTACTAAGGGAGACAGACCAAACAATTCCCTATTGTTACAGATGCTACTTTGACTTGACAGCTGGGAAAGTCTGATAGGCAGTTTATTTACTTAGCCATTTAACCAAATAAATGTTTTCATTTTTCTTTCATCTCCTCAAAAGCTAACATTTTGCCCTTAAAATTGCTCCAGCAACACATAAGTGAAGTATAAATTACCTGCCTTTCCCACACCAGCCATTATAATATTATTTTGGTTCTTTTTCACCCCTATTGACCTAGTCTTTTGAAGATATGTGGTTCTCCCAGACAGAAGGGTAGAGGAAAGTGAAATAATTGAAGATATTTCCCTTTATTGCTAAAACTGAAATGCTGTCTGAGATTGTCCCTGAAGCCTCCACCTGCAAGGATCGAGTTTGTCTGTTTTCTCTTACTGTGGTGAAACATGGCTTTAACCTATCAACAGATGTCGCCTCTACCTACCCAGAATTGTGTGGTTATTTCTAAACAAAAGCAGCTGGAGATAATGGTTGCAAGAGTGATAAGAAAGATGGGACTCATGCTTTCCAACTGTACGAAGGTACAGGGGAAAATAAAGCCACATATATAATTATCCCTGCATGTTATCCCTTTTCTGAATGTCTAGAAAAGCATTAAAAAATGCTTTACAGTAAATTAAAAAATTTCCAGTAGGTTAGCTGGGTGAATGGAATGGAGACAGAAAGATCAAATGTGGCTTGTGCTTCTATCGATGCAGGGGCCCAGAAAGGCTCATTTGAACTTCCCTTGTGAGTATCTAGGGGATATGTCTGCAAGGCTGGCATCAGCCTCTTGGCATACGATTCTTGATAGGCAATTGTGAAATTGCCAGGCTAAGCTTTCAAAGGGAGGAAACTGCTTCATTGAAGATGATATAGGCCAGCCCTCCCTTGGAGCTGGGAGCTACTTATGATGGTTTACATGTGAACATAAGACTGCTCATTTTTTGGAAGTGAGAGGTGGCCTGTGAGGCCCTAATTAGGGTCATTCTGATTATGAAACAGGACATGCCAGAGGGCTAAGAAGTAGGTTTTTCTTTTCTTCTCTGCCTCAAAGCTGTTTTGAGGCATATTGAAAACTAATGATCTGAAGATAGAAAATACAGAGTAAAACCTCCTAGCCAATGGCCTGGGTCACTAAGGTAGAATTTATTCAACATAAGGGCTAAATGTCTAAAATCTAATGTAGTGGGGAACCAATATTTATTGAGCACATATGATGGTGGTG